TGCAGAGTTTTCCAGTGACAAGGCTACAGCTCAGAGATCTGGATTCTGCTTTTGAGTCCATCTTTTTCTGGACTTGACAAGCAATTTCCATATGCCCATGCAATACAATTATCAATAATAATTAGGATAGTGCAACATATTTTGGGAAGAAATGCTTGAGAATGCACAACTGGAGTGTCTGGATTGAACTACCACATTGCAGGGCACTGGCTCTTGAACTCCCCACTGCTGCTGTTGGCAGGGCAGTCTCATTGTTTGGGAGGTGTGGAATTTTTTGTGTAGATAAAGCATCCACCAGGCTTTCCACACTGACCTGGAGCACACTGCCATGTGTTGGAATAGCACCAGTAACAAGGGAAATACCTGTGCTGTCCTCTGGAGAAAAAGCAAAGTTTTCTCTTTATTGCATCACGCTTCACTACTGCTGCTGCAGCAAGGATGACTACTGGCAGCACAAGGAAGAAGAAAATCAACAGCCCATCCCGAAGTGATGTATCTAGAGAAAAAGAATAGAAATCATGAAATTTAAAATATTAAAGGATTTTTTTTTTCGTGTAAAAAGTACAGTCTTCAAATTGTGATAGATTAAAATTAATAACTTCAGTGAAATTTATAACATGCTGCTATCAGAAAAGTAGAATTYGGCCTTATGATATTACAAGTTCTTTCTGCCTTACTCACCCTACGTATATACAAACTTCTCCCTTTTCCACATATTTTTTTTCAATAATTCTAAAGCAAATTCATTTTGTATTTGGTTACCTACAACTGATCAGCACATTTGCTTTGCCTTCCTAAACTTTTAATAAATATGAAGCATTTTTTCCCTTACCCAAAATAGAAGGTTAGTAAAATTCAATAAAATTCCTCAGAAAAAACATGTATTTTCCTCAGAAAACTACAGATTATGAAATTTGCTTTTAAACAAAGGAAAGAAAAACATTTTGTATTTAAAGGCCAGTAAAAGCTACTTCATTATGAAATAATGTTTGTTTTTCAAGTCAGTCCATGATTGTCTCATACAATAGACAGAAACAGTTAAAAAGAGACTGAAAACCACCCCTGTTATGAGTAGATGATTTTCTCAGTCCCTGGGGCAGAATGAGGGCCAGTTTCTGTGTCATACCTTTGTGAGCTGGACCACTGTCCACACTGCCACCGTAGCCAGACTGGTTACAGAACGGAGGAGCCCACCCTGGATTGCAGTGGCAGTTCCCATTGTTGTTACACACCTACAGCTCAAACAACAGGGAATCCTGAGTCAGGCAGTGACAGTTCCCATTGTTGYCACACACCCACAGCCCAAACACAGGGATTAGTCAAACAATACCTCCCTGAGAGTGGACACTCGAACCTTTAGCATAGATTTGGAGTTCCACATATGGAATTGCATGTGGAAACAAGAAATACTGCATAGCATTGCATAGAAATGCATGGAATATTAACTGGGAATAAGCTCTACCCCTCCATAACATCCTGAACCACTGAGTGATCCCGATACTCCGTGGCAATTCTCTCTAAGTTAACATTTGTGCTATTTGCCTGCAATAAATCATGGTCCAGAGACCTTCTTAGTTTCACAACCTTTGGACTCCATTTTGATTTTTCACARTGACATATATAAATCAGAAATTACTAGATTGTCATCCTCAAAGGAATGTTTTCATTTTACAATTCATCAGCCCAGTAATATTAAAAAATTCCCTTGGGAAATTCAGAAGAAATGCCTCTTAATGTTAGTGCTAAGAGGTTTGCAGTGTTCTGGCAACATGAATTACAGGTAAAAAAAGTGGATTTAACTTTTAATACAGATCAGGAAAAAGCAAAGCCATCTGCCTGGTTATTGCTTTAATTCAGGGAATTTGCACCAGTCTAGAAAAAGGACACAAAGCASCATGTACTCACCCCATTATTATTGCACTTCTGCTTCACATCACAGCTGTAGCCCAGATATCTTGCATCAACACATTCAAAACCTACACAGGCCTGGAAGAAGTAATTAGTGTCTTGCAAACACAAAACTTTAAAAAAATCCYATCTTTTTATAAATATACTATATAAGTGTATATGTTTATAAGTCTGAAGATTACATGCCAAGAAAAAGGGCTGATAGAAGAGTCAGTAATTCAGAATTTTATAATGTATTTGTCTCAGGTTTGCTTAACTCTGTGGATACATTTTGATGGAGTAATTTGAATTACTGATAATGCAATTCAGTGATTTGTAGCACCCCAGGCTTTGAAGAGCTAATTAATTGTTTATATGYGTCAAGCTCAAAAATCAGATTTTTCATTGTATCATGGCCTACCAAGATGAGAGCCATGTAATGCTTTTGGAAGTTCAAAACTTTCCATTTGGAATAYATTCTGTCATGCTGCTGTGATTCCTTTTACCTTGTTCTCCCCACAAGCTGTCCCATCATGAACCTGAGCAGGGTCAGGGATATCTGATCCTAAGTCAAAGTCAGAGGACCAGCATAAAACCCCAGATGCATTATTGACAACGCTCCATGCAGGAAGGTTTTGGAGACTGACAGATGTGCACTGSAGCTTCCCACACAGACTGTGCCTGTATGGGATGAAGGACACCCAGACACAAAGTGAACAGATAAAAATCAGTATCAGTGCAAATAAACCAAGCATTCCAGCCTTTTAGCTTGCATTTCAAGAAAATATTCTTTTAAATCTCTCACTTTAAGGCCTTGTAACAGAATACTTTTTTTTATATAAAAGATTTTAGGGTTAGCTTTTAATTGGTGGTAACTTACTGAACAGGACATTTCTTGTACACTCCACCTTTCATTCCACAGTTTCCAAACCTGTCTCCTTTTATATTTGCTTTTTCAAAGCATATATCAGGTGCTTTTCGTGCCCCTGTACAAAAAAAAAATAGTGAAACTCAGTCAGGTATCTGAAAAACACCAAAGAAAAAGAAAAATTGTAAATGTCTATCAGGAGACTACAAATGGGTTTACATTAAATGACAAACATACCTTTCCCATATATAGATTCACACTGTGAATCAAAACTCTGGCACACTCCATAGTAGCAATATGCCTTGCTGTTGCTGCATGGGTAGCCATTCATGATGTAAACATCATCTGGACAGTAGGCAGTGCTTCCATTGCAGTATTCAGGGAGATCACACACATCTTGTTTTGCTCTGCACTCTGCTCCTGCCACTTTAAACTAGAAGCAAAGAGAAAGGGCACTTTTAGTACTGCAACAGAGGAAGTTCTAGAGTGAAACAGACAACTGGGAACATTTAGTAATTTTAAGAAAGACAAATTCTCTTCTTGCATGCTCCCTRCTGGTGAATGTCAYTTGAAAATCTGTCAAGAGGACTAGGACAGATCTTTTTAAATATTAAAAACAATCTTAGTTAATAGGAATGACTTAGTTTAACARAGCACTGTGTACCTTGCAATTTTTGCAGCACAGTCCTTGAGCACATTGTGATCCAGGTGTGAGTTTGCAGGTTGCAGCATCACAGCAGGGGTTGGARCATTCCTGAGCACAAGGGGACAAGCCATGAACAAGGGGACACTTTTTATCTCTTTATAAAGCTAGGAAAGTACCTGATCAGTCCAAGTGCATGGACAAGCCAAACTTTAAATCACTGTGTCATGTTCTGACATCCTTTTGCTCTAACATGAACCAGCAGGCACTGTGGCTGTGTTTTATTTGTACAAGCCATCAGAAAAATGCCTGGTTTGATGTGCTGTGGCACAGGGATGCCAATGGAACCAAGGGTTGCTGACAGCCTTTTGATTTATTGATGCYTTTCTTGAGACACTTTTACTTTTTGAACAATGAGCCAATACATCCCATTCTTGGAGGGACATTTTGACAATGCAAATGTGGCTCTCAAAAGTCATTTTGTGTGGYCAGAGTTAMAGTTAACAAATCTGTACGTGTTCTATAGATAAACAGTCTGTCATGGAACAGAAATATCCATGATGCTAAAATGAAACAAAATCCAGTGGTGTTTCCACACACCCTGCTCTGAAATGCACTTCTTTTTCAGCAGTGCCTCAAAGTTCTGTGAAGTCCAATAGCCCTTAATTGAGTCCACATCAAAATCAAAGCATTACTTTAAGCTTTTACTAAAATTTATCTTCATATTGCTTGCAAAAATGCAGAAATACAAGGAAAACTCCTCACACATTAATGCAATCAGGTATGCCAAGAGGACAGTATAATAGGGAATAGTGTATACAGCAAATATCCAATTGACTTTCATGCATTACCTGTGGTTTGCCACAGTCACATTCTTCATTGTTATCGACCACATTATTACCACAGACAGGTTCTTTGTACACATTACTTGTTTTGGGAGGATTTCTAAGGCAGTTTCCTCCTCCTTTTAAAATAAAGGCCTCAAAATCATCAGCACTACAGGTGCTGAAATTCCTGGATCCACTGGAAAGCAAAATATTTTATTATTATAAGYATTTTGTTTACAGGAAAATATATATTTTGAGCCATTAAAATATTGTTGGTCTATAGTAAATATTGTATTTCATAATGCAAGGAGATCATGAGATAGTTAATTTTTATTTTACTTTGCATTGAAGTGCAGTACTAGAAGTTAAAAATACTCTGAGTAATATAAATGCACATACTTTCAGAAGCCAGAGTCCATCAGATTATCTATTCTGRTATCCTCTGTAAAACAGGCCTTAGAAATTGAATTTCTATACTGAGTCTAAAAATGTTTGATTTAAAAATATTCTCAGGACAGGAAGACATTCACTTTAACTTGGAGTTCCTAGGAACTGAGGAAGGCACCTTCCTAGAGCAGTTTTGTCCAGTGTTCAGTTACAATCATTTATTAATAAAATGGTGGATAAATAAAATATTACAATCTTTTTCTCATAAGGGGAAGCCAAAGAACAAATGAACTGATGGAAACATAAGCCAAGAATTTTTTTAAATTAACTGTTCAATAATTTGTTGCATGTTTGCACAAACCCAGGGAGTACATGTAAAGCATTCTCAACAAGATGCAAAACTCCCCAGCAACACACTACTGTTAAACAAAAATTAATAATATCCAAATATGTTTTCAGAAATGCTATAAATAAAGAATCATTGGATCAGGAAGCAGAYAACCTTTCAAATGAATTAAAATTATGTCAAATCTTAGGGAATCCAYCTCTGTGATTAAATTTTTCAACCAACTCCTTATTCACAAAAGTTCTTCAAGRTTCCTAGGAGTTTCACAGCTTGTGAGGCATAGTCACTGCAATTGAAATAAATTATTAAAATTAAATAACTGGAAATCTTACTTATCTGTGCTGTGCATGATATAGGATGCAGGACACCTTTTATCATCRTGTTTCATTCCAAGATTGTGCCCCAGTTCATGTGCAACTACTGTGGCATGACGTAACATTTTGTCATGATTCAGCTGATAAAGAGAATCAGGGTTAAAAAAGTGAAACTAAAGAAAACACTGTTTGTACCCAGTGATTCACTCCCATAACAAAGCTCTCAGGGACGACAAAGGCAGAATGCCAAACTGTATTGCAAAGTGAAAGCACAAAGACTGATAATTTGCCATTTTATTTTCAGGCAGGGCCAGATCCTGCCACTCCTTCCCTGAGGATCACATTCTGGATAGTAAGTTGGYAGCTGGTTTGGATCATCATTGCAGGCTTCTCTCAGCTAAAATTATTCTGTGTGATTCTATTCTAACTGAATTAGACACTGATTTTAAAGGAGTCTTCAAWAAYAAATGCRCTRTTAAAGAAKARAATCTGCTTCTSAGATTGTCCACAATGTTGTGGCATCCATATTTTAAGGACAGGAACCTCATTCTGCCCCAAGGGTGGGAAAAGAAGAGTTTTTTACTAATTTTTTTAGATTTTTTTCCTGTTTCTTTATTGTGAGGAATTCCAGACACTTGACAATAGAGTACATCATGTTCACTTTCTATTTATTTAAAGAGTAAAAAAAAATACCATTATTTTTGTAGCTGCATTCCCATCCCAAAAAGTTAAGAACTTTAATGTATGAGAATGAGCTTATGCAATACTGATTTAGAAGAATTACAAAAGACACAACAAAACAAAAAGAATTAGTTAAAGACTAAATGAGCCAAGTGGACTGGAATTTGACAAAGAAATTAGGAAGTACTTTAAAAAAACAAAGGTATAAAATATGCACAAGAAAGAAACCAGCCAGCTCCAAGACCAGGGTGGTTTGACCAAGTAGGTCAAGGACCGTTTTTTTCCATACCTATGATGTGATGTACTTACAGTGCTGATTGACCCTCCCTGGACATGGGAGCAGACAGTGCCCACAAAAGCCATTCCAATAGATCCACTGAAAGAGCTTCTCCCTCTGCAACAAAAGCAGTTTGAAGGTGGTGTTGAGAAATGGGTTGAAAGTTCATGATTTCTACTAAAAGACACTGACGAGCTTGAAAGAAATACTACAAGGCAAAATTTGRTCTTTCTGAAGTCAGGAAGGAATTTATAACCATAGCAGGGTTTCACTCTAATTAATAATTAATATCTGAAAAAGAGCTTGAAAATAATGATCAATCATTAAGTCTGCTGTGTAAGTGCACTCATTTACAGAATGGTTGAGGTGGGAAGAGACCTCTGGAGGTCACCCAGTCCCTGGAGTTGATTAACTCATAAAAATTCATTATAGTTTCTTGTCATTTTTCCAGGTTAAACCAGTTTGGAAGTGCAGAGAATTTTACTCCAGGTATATTTTAATTAATATACAACCCCCAAATCAGTTTAACCCTGGGAGCATGGTTGGTTTTCCCACTGGATGCAAACTTACATTATGAGGTGACCAACGTCATTTCTTGAGCGCTTCAGAAGATCTTTCTGTCTCCAAGAWACAAATCTACTCAGCACATCTCCAGCTGACCCCTCCATTACAGATATGTGGTTGGAATCTGTCCAAATCTCTAATCCAACCAAAACAATCTGGATGTTTAATGCTGTATACATCTGCAAAAAATAATGRTAATTAATGTCCCTCAGTCTGTTTTGATGGAATTCTGAAAGATGATTTCACTACTACTGAGTCAAAAATAACTTCAGCTTCCTTGAAACGAAATATATAATATTTGCTCTTATAAATGAAAATATAAAGTATTTATAAATTGTAAGCTAAATAAAAATATTTACAATATAAAAATAAGTATAACTGAAGACAATCTGCTTTATGAAATTACSTAAACATATATCTTGGAAAGACCATGTTCATTCCCTTCCTTAGCTAATTGTCTTGAGGAAAAACTGGGAACAGATCAGAGACTTATGGAATTCTTCACTGCCCTGACAGTTTTCTTAATAAAAAACTAAAAACATAAGAAATACTCTTCCTAGAAACGTAAAACATTCTGGAGACTTCATGTTCCTGGAGCACTTAGAAGTGGTTTAAAAATATCTTGCATCCTTCCCCCTGCTGGCACCTCTATAAGTGCAGAGATTGGTGATGTGCTTTAACTGTATTACAAATTATTTTATAACTTCCAAATACAATTTCAGAACTGCATTAGCTGCTCTTCTGAAAACTATGATAAAGCAGAAACTAYTGAATCCAGGCAACTTATCTGACCTACCCCATCAACATAATTAATCAGCTCCACTGTTTCCTTTTGCACYRCAGCAGGATCAGAATTCTTCAGCAAAAACTGYAAAAYACCATAACAATGTCAGAGGAAAAGAATTAAGAAAATAATAAAATGTATTTWGTGTTGGATGATATAATTACCCTATGGTGATCCACAACCACATATAATTCTACATAGCTTTTCTGGGGCAGGACAGCTCGCTTCTCCTGCAAATTAGAAGGCACAGTAAGTTAACATAATGAGCTCAAGGTGTTTTACTGMTCTTTCTCATGATTGTCACTTCATGTGTTTATAAAGCAATGTTGTATTTTGTAATGTGGCCTCAATTTGTCTTAGATTATCACATAAATGTGTATGTCAGTAATTTACACAAGGTCAGACACTGGGATGGGTGAGCTGAATGGCAGCTCATGTCTTTCATGTCCTATCCATGGCTGTTCTGAGCAGACTCTGCTTCCCACTGCAGGGTTGCTTCAAGCTATGTGAGATTCCCATTGTCCTGCCCTTCTGTTCCAGGATTTCCTTAGCAGTGTCCTCACCACCTTGGTGTCCATGAAAAGGTCACAAAAAAATGTCCTGCCAGGTCAAACCACCTGTAGTGATGCCATGCCATCTGGAGATGGTTTGGAATGCAGCTCAAGGGAGAAATGGAAATATATTTACCCTCAGAAGCCTGTCCCTGCTGGAGGTACTGTTTGATGAAAATGTGTACTTCACAGACTGTTTCACGATCATCTCATGCTCCAGGCTGCCATTCAGCACCCCACAATGGAAGGGGATTCCCTGCATATCTTCCAGTTCATAAAACATGTGTTCAAATGTGCTGGATGTGTTGAGCGGCTCCATTCCGTACCATTTGCCACCAATGTGGAGAATTCCCCTAAGAATCATAAAAGAATGAAAAATTATTCCATGATTTTCCCCTCACTTTTATGATTAGGTGAATGAGTATTAGCTGGATATTTGAAACACTACCTTGAAATAAAGTATTATTTTAGATTATATTAATATGACAGGTAAGTTCAAATGCCCAACAAAAGACAAAACAGAACTTATTTAAAATACTCAATTGTAGACAARTGTGGGCTTCTTGAATCAGTTAGAAAAGGAAGAAAAAAAAGAGAATAAAGGCAAATTGTTAGTAAATGAGTCTGGATTGTGGGTATAGAGCTGATGCAAAGGGTTTCTTTTAGCCCTTATCTCCATTCATTTAAAGGAATGCCAGGATATGTAATGATTTTGTGAGTCACATCTTGCTGTGAAACTTCACCTGAAACACACATTAGTGAATTTTATCCCATTTGTGATTTTATYATTGTATTTGAAACACAAARAMATGGTTCCAAWTTGGACAAARTWTTTTCATGGAAATGGTTTGTTTTTTGAAATRTGCCCATTCATAAGACAGAATTGTTTGCAGGAATGTTTTAAGTTAAATAGAAGCTTCATCAGGTAAGATCTTTTTCTACTAAGTGATCTCTGATCAAGACATTCACATCAAGAACAAGAGGCCTCCATTCATGCCCAGGTTCTGCCTATATTTAGATTATRGRTTCTCTCATYTTTTTGYACYTGAAGGAATTTTGGARAAGGGGAAAAAAGTGGGAATTGAGKGGAACAATAAAACCTGGAACGAGTTTCAGCTTCATCAAAAGGTRAAATATTGAAAAAAATAGCAAGAATAAATACCTAAGGCCATCACATGTGCTGAGAGCAAGTGTGGAGTCAGCAATTCCTTCAACAGTGCCATGATAATAACAGTGTGGCTGAAATGCAACAAACCCACATAATTAGTGACAAAACAARGTGGTTGCCATCAACTGCAAACTCATTTTCTAATTAACCACATTATTTGCATGACATTAGGACTGGCTGCTAGAAATTCACAGAGTTCCCTATTTGGAAAGCAATCCTGACCTCCTTGGAGCGGAATATCCCTTGACACCACTACCAACACTCCCTCATGAAATTCATTTTAAGATCACTGGTAACTGTCAGACAGAAATGCTACACTGTGAAAACTCACAAAAGTCTCATTCCCAGCAAATCTCTTTTTTCTTGGCATCCCTGCTTTGAGGAAATTGTGACACAAAGGGGAAGTTTTACTATGTACAATACCTCATTTTTGGATGGTGTTGCCTGCAGTTTCCCATTTTCTCCATATGTGTACAGCTTAAAGTCTTCACTAAGAAGCTTTCTGGAAACAAAAWGAAACTACTGCTCTTTTAATGGTCTAGGAACAAGTCAAGAGTCCTGCTAAGTGCTACATTGTGTTAGCAGCACACTCAACGTTAAATTATTATTAAAATCCAGGCACATGAAAAAAATACCTTAAATTGAGCTGGAATCTTTGGAAAATTAGTTATTTTGAAACTTATTTATTTTAAGTAAGATATCCATAGAGAGGAATCTAAGCAGTCTCAGTTGCATAAGGGCCTGGCCTATTACAGTCTCAGGAATGAGGAACAACAAAACCAGAAAATTTTCTTCAAATACAACACAGCTAAAAACTCTTCCCCCTTCTAATGAAAGGGAATGTTGAACAGAACTCTAATTTTCCCTAAGGATTTTCTGAAACATACTATGTTGTGCTGCTAATAAAAAATAATCAAAATAAATTTCTTAACACTGGAAAATTATTATTCTATTTGCATGGTATTACCATAATAGAGACACTATATTTAACACTATTGAACAGAGTAATTTTGTAGTTACTGCAATCTGCCATTAAAAGGTTTCTTCTGACTTTTTTTCAATATAGAAATGCTTGTCTGTAKGCAAGTAACCCCAAGACAGGGCAATTCCTTAGAACACTATATCACATACTTATTTTTCTTCAGCTTTAGGAGATATGTTCCATTTCTGGTTTTAACCGAGTAAGAAAGATTGTCATCTGAATGCTCCTGAAAACAGAACAAAAGATATCACTTAATGAGGTGATTTTTCTACTTTTTAAAAATTTTATGTTTTGCTTGACTAGAGAGGTCTAACTGCTGTGTATGTTTTAAGTACAAAAACACAGATTCTTAACCCCCAGGGCTTCCATATGTCAAAGTCTCWGCAGCACACTGCACATTCTTTCCTATGTGAAGTTTAAGTTCTATTAAACTATATTTTTTCATTCAGAGGACAGGAGGGCACAGCCCATGTGTGCAGTTCTTGCTAAGTATCACATCATGGTTTGTGACACTCCTTATGTAAATCAGATAAACKAGGCAGAACCTTTTATCCCCTAATTGGTTTGCACAAAGATGACTAATGCTKTTTCATTAACAGTTACTTCAGTAAATGAACTCCATATCCGGCACAAAGGTAATTTACCTCAGAATTGAAGAATTAATRGTCAAGTCTCTCTTTTAACTCATTTGTTTAACCTGTGCCACTCTGTGGGACCATTTTTATCCTTTGGGTGCTAAGTGGTTGAAATCCTGTGGTTATTATCCAAAGACCAAAACATGGATAGCGTGAATGTTCAAGTTCAACATCTAATCTTACTCAGAAAAAATGGAAATATTCTTGATGTTCCTTCTCACTTCTCTCTTACAAGGTCATTGACAGGATTAGAAGTTTGGAAGGCACTCACAGTAAAATCACAGGCCTTTGTGGGAGCACATTTACTTAAAACTAATTGAAAATACTGAGAATCATAAGAGACAGTGTAGGGCACATTTCATCACAAAAATCTCTATATACCATACATTGTATGTGTGTGTGTGTGTAATATAGGACAGTGTTGTGAAAAACAGCAATGCCAGAAGAAAAAAAAAAAATACAGTAACAAACCTCATGAGCAAATGGGTGATGTTCCTCTCTGCCTGWCAGTCTTCGAGGAATTATTATTTCTAATGTAGAAAGTCTGGATGCGTGTTCACAAGATACACCTGAAAATAAAGTTTGGAACTGATAAAGAATCAGAAAGAATAAAACGTTATGCTGGCACCTGCACAGTTGTGATTGCCCAAAGACCGTTCTGATCCAGCCAGAAATAGAGAAAGAGTGAAATAGTTCAGGAATGATCAAAATGACTTCAAAAAAAGTTACTTCAGATTAAATCCAGGATCTTCTAGAGCACACAAAGAAAAACTATCAAAGTATTTAAACAAAATTTTCTCATATTCTAGATTATTAAATTTGTGACTTTGTCTATAATTTTTAGTTCCACGACCTACACTTTTAACCTGATGTACTACAGAAAACTGGTGCAGCTAGCCTTCTCCCTTCTCTACTGTCCTGAAGAAAGAATACTTTTAATTGTCCTCTGGATATAATTTGTCCACCTCCTGGTTGGCAGAAAAGTGGGCTCACCACTCTGCCTCCTGCCATTCCCCAATGTTGCAATTTGTTTGTTCTAGCAACAGTCAGATCTTTGCAAAAGGTTTGTAACCTYTTACATTATATCAGAATTATCTCCAGAACTACATGCTTATGCAGGAAGCCAAAGATAAGAAGCCTGCCAAGTACCTGGTTTCAGGTAAATGATTTCATAAGACAAAAACAATCTCCAACGACTTTTTTTATTATTGTGAGGTTAAATTAATCTTCCTTTTTYTTGTCTGCTCATCAACTGATTTGATCAAGGGAGACAYAACCATTACTTTTTAACAGGCTATWGAATCAATATTAACATGGTTTTAACAGTGGAAGTGGTTTCTTCCTTATTAAAATGCTCTTTTATAAGGAAACAAAGAGATTTCTTCACACTTATAATAGTAGAGAATCACCCTCAGCCTCCCACATTCCTGTGAAAGGAATTCATAATTGCAAAAAAGTCACACAACCAGCCATGCAAAGTGAGGAGGACGATTCTCCAGTGTAATGATGATCTCTACCTGTTAGATAACATCAGGATTTTTAAAAGSTAGGTGCAGRTAGCATATGTTTAATATTACAGGCYGMAATYGCAATCAAAATGTGGAAGTTGCTATTAGCAAACAGGTCTGAAAAGAATATCAGTTCTTGATATTTGCTTCTGACTTTGCTCTTAATTTTCAATAATTTTATTTTCTAAATCAGAAAATCCATTTTGTTTCATCAGTCAAGTGTATGTTGAACTAACCATGAACATGCTCTTTTAACAATTTTAGTTTTGACACCTGAAGGCAGGAAATCATTTTTGATGCATGTCAAAAAAACACCACTTTCTAAGAAACATTCCAGGTRTTACATTTAAATCTAAAATGGGAAGCCAAATCACAGAAATGAGTTAATGGAGAATTACAGTGAAATTGTAGAAATTCCTCTCACATTACTGAGAAGAAATGTTCTTCCACAGTCTCTACTATTAATGAGAGTGACAGTACCTGTGGTTGTCACAACCAGTGTCCTACACAGAAAATGATGTATTTAAATACCTTCTACATCCTGAAGGAAAGAAAAAACCATGAAGAGCTCAACTATAAAAAGTTTCGACCACCTTTTCCAAGATTTTCTCAACAAGCAGAGCTGCACAGGGAGAGCCATGACTACAGTCAAAAGTGTGCATCATTATGATCAGGGTCCAAGCAGACTTAGAGAAACTTCCTGAATATGTGAAAAAASAAAACTTACCTTTTATCCAAAAAGGATTTCCAGTAAAAAGCAGTCCAAAGCCAAACAAAAATAGGCTGTGCATTAACATGACTTCCTGGAGAAACTAGTCCAGCATCTGAGCTGACTYTGGCTGCTCTGCACGGAACCAGAAGAACGGGAACCGTCTGCTCCGAAGGTAAACAAGAGAAAAAGCTCTCYGATACTGCATGTCTGCTGAGGAAATGGGAAGTAAAATTTAATCCACTAGGCTTGCGAGAAAACTGGTCAGACAGCCTAATGCAAATAAAAACCAGCACATTCTTAAATGCTGATTGGAGAAAGAGYACATCCCGTGTCGGGATCAAACTGGTTTATTTTAAAGGTCTTTTATCCCTCGGTGAAATCATATGAGATTAGAAACATAAAATATTTGCTACTGACAGGTGCAATGTTTAGGATGTTTGTCCTGTCTACTGCCAGCTTAGTAAAAAAACTCTACTGTGAATCAAGCTACTCTTTGAAATTTCAGCTTCTTGTCTTCCAATCTTTCTAATTTACTTTAAAATATAATGCACATGAATACATGAAAATTCCTAAAACAGAGGTTTTATCTAGTCCCTTCTATGTTAAACACAATTCTCCTCACCAGAAATCTGTAATTTTGTGCAGATCATCGCTCTTCCAGGACCAGAGAATTCTTCCACGCAACCACATTGTCACCAAAAGCAGAAAAGAAATGCTTCTAAAATAGATGAGGTTGGAACGCATTTCAGAAGTATCAAGTGCATTTAGAAACACAAAAAAAAAGAGACRGAGACAACGCAGTTTTCACGCTCAAGCATTTACATTAATTAATTTTAATTAATTCTTTGATTAAACCAGAATAAATCCATTTTTCCATTGCTGGCAAATCCCATAAAATAACGTCGTAAGTGACAAAAAGCAGAATGCTGGCTGTATTTGCAATATTATCTTGTGCTAAGCCTGTTCAGATCCATTCCCCAAGAGTCACAGACCCAGAATATCCCGAACATTCCTGCACCGACCACTGAATGGAAGCAGAACTTGATACCTTCATTCCATGGGTCTGTGTCTGCCACAGCCTCGGGAGCAGCATTCCCTCACTCCAGAAGCTGAGATCCTACTGAAAATTAAATGAACCCCATCTTTTATTTATGGSCTCTTTTATTCATAGCCTCTCTCCTGGGTGATGCACTATCAGCGCACAGCTCAGGAGAGAGAATCCCACTGCTCCAAATTTTGACATATTACCAAGTTTCACAGAATCCAAGAATCATTGCAGCTGGAAAAGGCTTCTGAGATATCGAGTACAACAAGGGAACCTGTTCAAAGCCCGATGACCTTCTGGTATAACCAACCCTTTCCTGATATCCAACCTAAACCTCCGCTGACACGACTTCAGGGTGTCTGCTCCCAAATAACCAGCGACAGGACAACAGGACATTGTCTTCAACTGCGCCACAGCAGGTTTARGTTGGACATCAGGAGGAATTTCTTCACAAGAGTGGTCAGACATTGGAACGGTCTGCCCAGGGAGGTGGTGGACTCAGGAGGCGCTCAAGGAAAGACCGGACACGGCACTCGGTGCACGGTCTGGTTAACACGGTGCTGTTGGCCCACATGTCGGTCTCGGTATCTCAAAGGTCTTTCCCAGCCCAAACGGCCTCGGTATCTCAAAGATCCTTCCCAGCCCAAATGACCCCATTTCCCTGCCCCGCTCCGTGGCCCCGTGAGGGTGCAGCCGCTCCCGCCCGGTTCGGACTCTCCCTCAGGCGGCTCCCGCCGCTCCCCAGCGCGCACGCGCAAAGCCCCGCGCGGCGCAGGCGCGTCCCGGCCCGCGGCCGCCGCTGAGGCTCGGGCGGTGCCGCTGAGGGTCGCTCGGTGCTGCTGAGGGTCGCTCGGTGCCGCTGAGGCTCGGGCGGTGCTGCTGAGGGTCGCTCGGTGCCGCCGCTGAGGAGCGGTCGGTGTCGCTGAGGGTCGGTCCGTGCCGCCGAGGGTCGCTCGGTGCCGCCGCTGAGGGTCGCTCGGTGCCGCCGCTGAGGGTCCCTCGGTGCCGCTGAGGAGCGCTCGGTGCCGCTTCCCCGCCCGGCTCTCTCCACCGGGTCTCCGCGATGTCGAGCGGCTGCGCTGCGGCGGCGGAGGAGGAGGCGGCGGAGGAGGAGGAAGGAAGCCGGGAGCCGCGCTGTGTGTCGGCGCGGTGCTCCTGGTCCTGCGCCCCGGCGGGCGGCCTGGCCCGGGCGCTGTGCCTGCGGCGGGGCGCTGGGGACGGCGAGCCCGGGTGAGGGCGGCGAGAGGGGGCGGCGGGCTGGGCCGGGCGGGAGCGGRGCTGGAGCTGGAGGGACAACGSTGTCGCTTCCCCCCYGCAGCAGCGAGGCCGTGGTGGCGGAGCGGCGGGCGGGCGGCGAGGAGCCCTGCGAGCTGCGGCTGCAGTGCCGGCCCGGCGCCGAGATGGTGTCGGTGGGGATCGTGAGCCAGGCCCGGAACATGGAGGTGTACGTGGGCGAGGAGTACTGCGGCACCGGCCGGGGACAGAGCCGCGGCGCACGGCCGGCCCCGGGGTGAGTGGTGGGCACGGGCGGTTCTGGGTCCCGCACACCCTCCAGGCAACCCSCTGCTCTATGTGTGTGTGTCTGGGAGGTGCTGTTGCTGTTAAAGACCTGATGCCTTTAACAAGGGTGAGAGAATTAGGGTTGTGTAGCCTGGAGAAGAGTGCCACTTCCAGTGCCTAAAGGGGCTCATGGAGAGCTGGAGCGGGACTTAGGACAAGGGATGGAGAGATAAGATGAGGGGAACGGCTTCACACTGGCAGAGGGCAGGGTTAGATAGGGTATTAGGGAGAAATTGTTTCTGTGAGGGTGGTGAGGCCCTGGCACAGGTTGCCAAGAGAAGCTGTGGCTGCCCCTGGATCCCTGGAAGTGCCCAAGGCCAGGCTGGACAGGGCTTGGAGCACCCTGGGATAGTGGGAGGTGTCCCTTCCCGTGGCAGGGGATGGAATTARATGGTCTTTAAGGGTCCTTCCAACCCAACCCATTCTGRYATTCTRTTAAAAACTTYGKCTCTTTGATAAGYAGTCATCWTACACTTCAARGAAAAGASAGATTTAAAAAAGAAGGTTTTGTTTTCCCCTTCAATGCTTCCTTCCATGCTTTGCTGGGGGAAATAAAGCAATGCTTCTGTTTTGTTTTTAAATCATTACATGGCACATCTGCTGCCTAATTAGCTAAATAGAAACCAGACAACTCAGAGCCTCAGGGAAGATGYGTGAATAATGTACTGAACCTCAAAAGCTTCTCTAGTGCGCAGTGCATGCACACATACAAATAATTTTTTATGTACGTATTTGATAAGATTCATTACAAGTTGCATGTAAGCATTAAAGCTGCTATTAGAAWCTAAAACACTGCTAAAAACTAGAAACTAAAGCTGCTGTTAGAAACCATAAATCTGGATTAGAAAAGTGTTCCAGTCAGTCTTGTTTCTTATGWAAATATTACCAATATAGTCTATTTCTACAAAAAAAAGTTAAGTACTTTGTATATTGATGTCATTGTTTGTTTTGTCAGCTTGTTTGTTTTATTTTTCTAGTGAAACTGAAGAGGTTACTTTATACCACAAGTACCTTAAGTTTGARTGCCCTGCATCCTCCTGTAGAATTAAGGTAGGGAGTTACACAGTTTGGGTTTTTTTTCTTATGTCTTTTTAATCACTTAATTGACTAAATTGCATTGCTTTTAGTAAAATTATTGATTTTATACACTTCATCATTTCATATAATCACTTAAAATCTGTTGACTGATACTTTGTCTTGATAGAGTCTCCTTTTAAATTGGTATTTCAGTGTTCTTTTTATGAAGGCTTTATATGATACAGATAATTTAGTCTTGGAGATAAAAAACCATAAACCAGGTGTACTGCACATCTGTGATTAGAGCTGTCAACTCTGGGGTTAAATAAACGTGTGAAAATTGTATGGCTACTACTCCTAAATGCTTAGAAAATCATCTTGGGGGCTCTCAGGTACTCTGTTCTAGCCAGAGTTTTATGGGGAATAATAGCAAGGAGAAATTGGCTTAATTTCTGTGGGAAAGAGTTCAGCATGGCTTTTCCCAAGACTCAAAAGAACAATGCATTGTCCCCTACGTACAAAGAAAACGTGATTTTTTTTTTTCCTAACCAATGTATTTTTTTTCCTTCTTGCAATAGCTGCTCTCCTTTGGTGAGAAACAAAGAGTACTCATCAGTAAAATAATTATAGAAGTGAAAGCAGTGTCTGCAAAACTAGCAACTGATTTTCCTTCACTAGGCTCGAGCATAGATCTAGACAGAGTGCAAACTATTATGRAATCCATGGGATCTAAATTGTCTCCAGGTGCTCAGCAGCTCATGGACATGGTCCGGTGTCAGCAGAAAGTAAGTCCCTTTTCCGTCAACACAAACAGTACTGATGTGGCATCTTACTAGTTAGGAATGTTCTAAAAAGATTTTGTGTTTTTTAAATCCATGTTTTCTGCCACTTTCATCCTGGTTTAGTTGTTGCCACTTAAATGAGTGCAATGAGTAAAGATTGTGTATTCCGGCAATCACTGTGCATACACCAAGAGTTAATTCTGCATTATTATAAGTTTCACTGCCATCCTGTTCTCCTTTTGTCTGTTTCCATTGTCACTGCTTGTCAAGGATGGTGGGTGTGTTCCCTGGAATGTTTGGGGTGTAGGTGGATGGGCTGGTTTGTCTCTTTAATGATCATTGTAAGCATGTCACCTTCAACTAAAGGGAATGTGCTCATACAGAGAATTTACTTTAGATCCTAATCTTACAGTGGGCTGCTTCAACAGAATCCTGAATCTCTCTGATGATAATAATGTTCACATGTTAGAATCTGGTGTTAATGTTCATTGTTGTCCCCAATATGTTGGGGACATAGCGTGGTAAAAATGAAGTCAGTAAAGCTCTTACTTAGAGACTGCTGTGATAATTAGCACATCATATTTACAGGGAATATAGTTCAAAACTACTTTTAAAATCTTTACATCACACTGGTGGAATGCTGAGTTACAAAGAATCTATTGTTATTGCTGTATAATTTCAGTAATTCTTAATATTTAAATATTAATGGTATTGTTTTTCTTCCCATCAGAACAGTTTGCCTCTTGCAGACAAACTCAGTTGGATCTTGGGGAAAAATTCTGATTTTGGAGGTGACCGTGCAGTAGATGGATTACGCAGTGCAGCTCTTCAGTCATCACTGAGTCCATCAGCTGGTGAACCTTTGCCTGTTAAAAATCACTTAACAAGTGAAGCAGTGTATAAAGACTTAAAAATAACTCGTGATCTGAACTCAGAGCTACCTGAAAGAGAGAATACTCTGGGTTCTGAAAGACTTCCTACCCAGCAAAATGCAGCTGGCCTCAGGAATGATTTGAAAGTTGTGGGATCTTTGCAAGTGCAGGAACAAGCAGGTGAAATTCCAAAYGTACCCAACCCACAGGTGCTTCTCCCTTTTCTTCAAAACTTGTGCACTCAGGTGAATCACCTTCGGCTCAAGGATGGTGGGAAAAGTGCAGTGGCTAAAGAGGAAAGTGTTCAGAGTGTTGGGTGAGTTAAGTTTGATGTAATTCTGAAAGCAGTAGTATCTATTGACAAGTTTAAACAAAATATGTACTGTATGCACTTTATTCTCATTAGAAGCAATAGTGAACCTTAGAATATGCAGTTKTGAAAGCCACGTGGTGATGAACATTACAATTAATTTTTTAGATGAGCTGCTTGAATGTAGGAGTGTTTTTGGAAGAGATTATGTCTGTTGTCACYAAATATTTTGTCTTTTAACTCCATTTAATCTAGTTTTAAAAAGTATGTTTCTGTATTTTCATATTCCTTTAGTTTCTCTTATACTACTACATTTTCATTTTGACCACTTTTACCCCTACATCTTTCCTTTTTCACACAATGTGCCATGATCTTTCTGCTGTAGTTGGAGTGTGTCATCCCACTGATTTTCCTGTTCCTCCTCGTTTGTTGGCATTTGAAGAGCAAATGTCACAGTCACCCAGTTTGATACCTCAGGAACAATAGTGGAACTTGTGAGATGTAGGAATGTTGTGTAGGAATCAGGATTGTAACAGAATGTCTCAGCCCCAGTATTTTTAAAGAATGCAGATGSAAAACCAGTGAGTTGCATAGTTTGGATAACTCCTGAAGTACATTTGCTGGCAAGGACAGTCTGCCACGCTGACAGAATACAAACTCTGTTGTTGGCTTGGGTGGATTTTGTTTTATGGAACTAAGCTYTCCAATGCATAATTGAGCCTTTGAAGATGACAATGTACAATAGCATGTTTATGAAAAAAAATAGAGATCTAAAGTGTGGCAGGCAGRGAATTCTGCTAAAAGCCTAATGCCTTCCGAAGTTCATTGCCTAATAAATAATATTCTATATTTAAAAGGCCAAGTGCCCACATCTCTATTATGCCCTTTGTCATTAATAAATAGGTTATATTTACTCTTATATTTGCTCTTTTTACAGAGTAGAACAGCAGCCTATTTGCTCCTATTTGGAAAAGATAATTTCAAAAAATCTGGATCTTATGGAGAAGAAACTAATGGACTATATTGACTGCCAAATCCAAGCTCTTCAGACACACATAGACAATAAAATGCTTCTCCTGATKGACTTGGTTCAGAACTCGAAACAAAACAAAATTTGCCAAGCACACTATGATTCTAATGAGGGGTTTTCTAATGGAGAGAGATGAATGCAGAGGTAGGATTTCAATGTAAATACTTTAAGGGGAATTACACTTTAAAAAGCTTAGTATTTATGCAGTAAAAATGTAAAGAACCTCAGTATTGTTAACTTGCATTTTGTTACTGTAATACTATCCACTGTTGTAAAAAGTTGTTAGTTTTATGAAAGATCTTAAGAATATGTKTTTTTTCCTAAATATAAGAGTTTTGTATGCCCTTTGTAGCTTATTTATTTAAAGAGCATCACTAGAAGCTGTATGAACAGTTCCCAGTTCCACTTGGAACAATGGAGTACTCTAAATAAACTTGAGTGACTGCCTATCTTTTTACCTGCATGTAATCAGTTCACCTTTTTTTGGTTGTATTAGTTTTTTATGTGAAATGTGTTAACAGTAGAATAGAATGCAGTTTGTGCTTTTGCTTTATTTTAGTGGCACTCCTGTTGAAGACATTCTTTGTTCCATCTCTGAGAGGAAGGTTGGATTGTCATTGCCTAATTTAGACAGTTTATGGAGTTGTCTTTAGAGAGCTGGGGGAATGTGAACCCTGCCTGGACTCTTTGAAAGCCTTGTTGGCTGTACAAGAACCTGAATTAGGAATCCAAGCTCCTTAAGTGAGGAGGACCTAAAATAAGACTGCCATATCTTTTTTTTTTTCCTCTTAAACTTACCTGAGTGTGCAGGAACAACTGAAATGAATGCATACTCAGCAGACCKTATCCATCTTTCAGTATCCTAAGAAATGCAAGTACTTCATTTGTGGTCCCTCTCAAGCAGATGTCATTCCCAGATAGGATGTGCTGGGGTAGCTCCAGAAGAGCAGAGAAGTTTCCTTACTGCTTCACACTTCCTTTAACMCTTTGGGATCAGTTCTGCTGGCATTTGGAGAGGTAGGAATGTGACCCAAAGTTCCTCTTCTATGAAAACTCAAATTTCAGGCTTCATTCTGTTTGCTGCTCTTGGATTCTGGAGTGCACCATTAAAATGAACMGTGTAGGGACTTGATGGTAAATCCCTCAGATGGGTGCACAGACATTTTTGGCAAGAGCTATTGATGGGGAAAAAAGTGTTGGCTCAGAAACAGCATAGGCATGTATAATCCAATATCTTTATTTAGTCTGCTTAATATTTTGTTCTCCAGGAAAACTGATGCCTTTTGAAGACTGTCATAGCCTGATGTAGTAACCCACAGGAGCAGATTTGGAAGAGAGGATAATTTGCTTTGAAAAGACATCTTACAGTTGTCCCTCAGCTTAGCTCACTCCTGGCAAGGTGCAGTTTCAAACTGATTCAAAAAGAYTAGAGGGTTTTTATCTCTTTTAAGAAACAAGGACCTTAAATTATCCTGTACTTCATACCTTTAAAGGTTTAAAGATTATCTTGAGGTAGATACACGCTCTTTTTCAACTCAATGACTTAAGATAGAATACTAAGTTGAGAGGTTTTYGGTTTTGATGAGTTTTTTAATTGCAAAGGAAGTTGAAATGTGTTTCTGAGTGTTGTTGCGTTCAAATGCTGTTAATTTATTGATTTTTTTAATTTTTAGTTTTTTCCTCTTTCAGTGACAAATCTGAACAGGAATTGTCACTAATTAAAAATCTTCTGAAGTAGTTAAAAGGASCTGTAGCTGTATCGTGCTTGGTGTTTGTGATGTTTTAGTATCACAGCTACCACAATGAGAATGTTTGAAATTAAAACCACAAAAGCCAGAGTGTAGAAGTTGTATTGTTGCAGGTTTGGTGTTTTTTCAGCTTCTGCTTCAATGAAGGATTCTGTATAGAGACAAAAATAGTGTTTAAAATTTAGAGTAAAACATTTTCTAGATATTTGCATTTGATTACCCACAGAGTGCACATTCTGAATATGTAGTACTGAAGATTTGTAAAAATTGGTAATAAAACAATCCTGCAGAACATCATGATGTTAAATTCTTYGGTATTGCTGCAGCCAAGTTACTGCCAAGCAGTGCTGTCACTATCAGAGAGATTTGAGGCATTTGCTGAAGAAAAGCTGGGCAAAAAAASCAACTTGTGGTTCTAACCCTGTGCCTTCCAGTGGTTTCCTATCTGCTCCTCAGTAAAACTCATTCTGTGCTTTATAACACCCTGAGTGTGATCTATTTGCATTTGCATCCTTTTCACATTACACACCCACTTCACTCATACGGATGCCAAATGTTTTGCTATTGGAATAAATGGGACCATACCTAAAATGTTGCTGGAGTTCAGAAAGGTTAATAATTAAAAAAAAGAAAAGCCAAGAAAAAAAGAAAATATTCTTACTACTCTTAAGAGCAAGATTAATTTTAAATATTTCTTAGATCTGGTACCTGAAAGCAAGTGGCCCAATATGCATTTGTCAGGTGGAGTTTTGGGCTCCATGAAAGTGACAACTGAGCATAGTGGGAGTAATAATGCAATATTTTAAAAATAACTTTTCCATACTTYGTAGTTTCTCTTTGCTCTTGGTACTTGACCACTGTAGATCAGACTGCAAACGCCACTAAAGCTTGATTGTCTTACAAACACCCTTTCAGCTCTCATTTGAAGGCATGGTGCTTTTGGTTTCTGCTCCCAAAACTCAATTCCTGCTCTCCTGGGTACTGCATGCAGGGGGAGGATTTAACCTGGAATAACTCAGCTGTGTTTATTATCTGCAGTACCAACAACTAAAAACAGTGAAGTGCACACATATATATGTTTATTTTTAATTTTTTTATYACTCTTACCTGAGTGCTCAGCAGCCCTGAGATCTCTTTTCAGGCGGATGGGGCCCWCTACAGTGTTGGTTTTCCATGTGTATGGAGCAATGTCTCTTTTCTGCCTGGTGATGCAGCCTCTGGCACAGCGAGAATCAGTGTTGTTGCTGTCACAGATCACAACRTTACACTGGAGATAAACTGATGGAAAGCTCCTCAGGAACCTGAAGGCCCGAAATTTGAATCTTCCATGGTTTTCAAATGCTGGGTAGGTTACCACAGTGTCATCTTTATTGCAGCTGCAACAGAATGGACAGATCTGTTACAAAAGTCCACTTAACATAGTAATTCTCACTAAGTACTGTGAACTGTAACTACAGCACTTAACCAGGGTGTTGTTTTTACACATGGGCATAGAATGATGTGGTTTTTTTTGCTTTGCCCACCATAATTGGTTCATGTTTTTCCTAGCTCTGTTTCTCTGAAATAAGGCTTCCAACCACAGTCTACTAAATAAGTGGAAGACAAAAATGAAAGAAGTGCAGCTGACATTTAGATTTTATTTCCTCACACATTAGGAAACTGTAACAGAATCAGCCTTACCCATTCCTGATTAAGTCATATGTCAGTGATCCAAAATCCTCCTGTGGAGATGCTGTGCAGGTATCAATGAACACCTGGAGATTTGGGTCAGTGGAATGAAGAGTTGCAGCAACATAGAGAGTTTGGTTCAAGTCCACGTAGTATGGGAAGTATTGTATGGGTTTGGAGAAGGAATCTGACTCGTAGAAGGCCATGCTGATGTTGTACCTTCCTCCAGCAATTATTTTTTGGATGGCATTGTTTTTTGTCACGTAAATGACTTCCAAGGTTGCGTTGTTGCTGATTCTGCATTCTGCAATGATCTCTGTGTTCTTCTGGCGGGTGATGACGTTGCCAGCTGGAGCCAGGGTTATGGTGTTGGTGTAAGTGATACTGTGGCTTTCAGCCTGGGAAAGGAACGGTGGGAAGGGCTCAGCTGGGATTGCATGAGCAGAGCATTGAAAGCCATTGCACCAAACTTACAAACCTGCCCAGCTGTGCTTATCAGAGGCTTGAGATACCCTGGAAATGTTAAACAGGCTGCAACCAAAAAACCTTATCAACCCTCCTGTTCTGAAAAAAAACACTACTCAGGCAGCAAAAAGGTTAAGGAATAGTGCATGGAGTGTKGGAAGCACCAAAGCTATGCTACAGCCAGCCTTATGATAACAGTGCTATGAACTAGCTCTTGGGAATTTTTGGGGGGTTCATTTCTGTGGATTCTTTATATTTCTTTTGAAAGGTTCATTGATTATCAGGCTCTTAAAGAAGAAAAATATTCTACTTCAAGACAAGAGACATACCATGGGATGAGCTAAGTGAAAGTAAATTTACATGCTCTTCATACACTGCTTTTACCAGCTCTTGTCTTTCATAAGCTGTTTGTTAGCTTGTTCATATTTTTACCATTTCCTTTTTAATTGTTCCACAGCTGGCCAATGGGAAGGAGAAGATCACTTCTGAATCTGTTACAGTTGGTCTGCAAGATGGATCGTTGAGCTGCAGGTGAGCTTCACTAAAACCAAGGGAAGCCAGGTAAGATTTGCTCAGAACAATTCTCATGCTGTATGAAGGGCAGGTAAGGGTTGCTGCCATTGAAAAAGAAAAAAACCAAAAACACATTAGAACTAACTGCTGTGTCTAATCCTTGAACGTGATTCTGGATTTGTCAGTGAAAAAGCTCATACATGCTCGAGGTCATGCAGAATTTGCACCAAAATTTCATGCTCAACTTTAAACCAGGAGCAAAACCACATTGAAAGTTTAATTTTAAATTCAGTTTAACATAGAAATGTGTTAATGTGTTAAAGTAACACAGAATGGATCTCTTCCTTTATAAAAGGGAAAAGGAATTGAAGTTTAGTGCAGAATGATAGGTGTGGAAATTGATCTATCTCAGGCATTGAGGCTTTAGAAGCTCTTTTCTWTCTCAGTTAATGGGAAGATAGACACAAAAGGATATAGGACCAATAAGGAAAATAATGCCCAGCCCAGGGGGAAAAGAAATTACCACCTAAACTCTGACTAATCAATGCAGACCATTTTCCTGAGTACCTCAGGCAAGAAAAGCATTTAAACTTACCAGTCAATAAGAATTTGTATTTGCATCTGAGCACAATAATCGTGCCTGTCCAAGGGAAGGAAAAGCTTGGATTTTAAGTAGAGCCAGCTAGAAAAAAAGGACCCAAAACAGGTTTTCTTTTGCAGGTGGGCCAGGAAATAAATGATGCTCTACAGGTGAGACTAATGTGGGATTTTTGTGTGTAAAGACAGTTAAAGACTGCCAATAAAAAGGCTGAACTCCTCAGTATCAACTGTCAGTTCTTTTATATGTTTGTGAGAGAAGAATCATGAAATGAAGAAAACCCATCATCCTCTCCCGTGTAGCGAGTGCACTCACTGTTGAAATCCACGGGAGCTGGCAGGGGAACACTGGAATACTGAGCTGAAAATCCTCTGTAGGAGGTGGCGTCATCTGTGGACAGTACAACTGTCATCATGTTTGAAGAAGACTCAAATGTGGGCTGGGCACGACCACACACTTTCCCCAATAATCTAGAGTCAGTGGTGGGGCCATCATARACTGCTGTGAAGTCTAGTTGGCAGTTTCTGTCCAATTCCAAGCTGCAGGGAGAGGAAAAACCATTTCAGGGAAATCTGAGCACAGCTTTGTTTGTACTGGATAGAGGAGTGCAGATAAAGTGGTGAGTTCCACTGAATTGAAATAAGAGAATGGAGAACAGAAGAACACACAAATAMACATTATTAAAACCAAATGAAACATAAAAATATTTATGTTTCTCAAAATAAATAGTTCTTAAATTGTAGGGTTGGCTTCTGTGGGCCTCTGAAATCTCTTGTATGTATCACAGAGGAAGATTCTTGCAATTTTTCACCAGTGAAGGRTGGATTCTCCCAGAACAATATCAGCAGGGGGGTGCTGAGAGCACATTCCATACTGTGCAGAGTTCATTGTCTCAAAGTGGTCAACTTAAGGATTTCCTGTGGAATCCTGTACACCTCATACTGAATTCCTGCAGAGCATGCTGCAGTTTGAATATCTCAAGATGTGGACCTACACCTCATGGTTGGTCACCCGAGATGTTTTCCATGTTTCTCTGACTGGCACTGCAGCAACTTTAGGTTAATGTACAGGGATGTGRAACACTTTGCACTCATTTTATCATAAAAGTCAACAAAACCCACTGATTTTAAAAGTGTACAGATGTTCTAAAAGTTAGAACTTCTTCCTATGTTTAAAGAAGTAATGCCTTTTGAATAGAATGAATAAAGAGAATTAGAGCATTGGGGCATTTACTCACAAAAAATCTTGGAACTGTAAGTTTATCTTCGAGTTTTTTGGTGCTTGTATGTGCCAGACACAGTATCTGAATCCAGGGTAAGGTGCTGGGTAGTTGGGGCTGCTGAATGTCCCATTGGGACCCGTTAATTCTCCCCCACAATTTTCAGTTTCTGAAAAGGAGATGTATTAGTAACAGAATAAGTCATGTTATGAATCATATTGAAAAGAAAAACATGTATGTAACTAGCCGGGTAAATGCTGTAATATTTGCTAACCGAGTAGATTTCATGGAAGTCTTGAAAGTCCAATAAAGTTGCCTTAGCACTTTTCCAAGTAAAGTTTAACTTTTTAGGATCTCTGTAAATGCACTATTTGTGCCTCTTTCACTAATTTTTTCCTTCATTCCATTCTCTGAGGCCTAAAGACCTGTATGAGGCTAATGAAAGTTTCTTTTTTGGTGCAGTTCAAATGGTATTAATGRCTTACTTGATCCTGGTGAAAAGAAGTAATAGTAGACAAAGAAGTTTCKTGTGAAAGCCACAGAATTGGTTGTTATGAGAAAAGTTAAACTGTCTGAAGACGATTCAAGCACTGGGACTGCAWSAGTGTCATCACACACTTGTCCAAGRAGWGGTGAATTRGTGGAGGGGCCATCAAACACTTTAATGCTTTCTGTTTCACAGCTTGAAGAAGGAGCAAATCTATTGAAAAAAACATGGTGAGAACCACTGAGCTCACTGGCAGATACACAGGCTTACAGATAAATGTGTGCACACGGGTTGGGACAATCCCACAAATACAGGCTGGGTGGAGAATGGRCTGAGAGCAGCCCTGGGGAGATGGACTTGGGGGTGTTGGTGGATGAGAAACTCARCATGACCCAAAAGTGTCTGTGTGCAACTCAGGAAATTAATGGGTTTGGGCTACCTCAAAGGAAGAGAGCTTGAGGGAAGTTATTCTTCTCCTCTACTCTGCTCTCATGGCACCCTGTCTAGAATGCTGCATCCAGCTCTGGGACCCCAGCACAAGAAGTTGCTCCCAGGGTTGGAACAATTCTGCTCTGGAGACAGGCTCAGAGAGGTAGTTGTTCAGCCTGGAGAAGGGAAATCTCTAGGCAGATCTTGGAGACCTAAAGGGCTCCAAGACAGCWGGAGAGGGACTTTGGACAAGGACATAGAAGGACAGGGCACAGGGAATGGCTTCCCACTGCCAGAGGGCAGGGTGAGATGGGATATTGGGAAGGAATTGTTCCCTGGGAGGGTGGGCAGGCCCTGGCACAGGGTGCCCAGAGAAGCTGTGGCTGCCCCTGGATCCCTGGCAGTGYCCAAGGCCAGGCTGGACACAGCTTGGAGCACCCTGGGATGGTGGGAGATTTCCCAGTCAGTCCCTTCCAACCCAAACCATTCTGGGATTCACTGGACAGCGCATAGCACATTCAATGCAGGGAAATATTTAGAAGCAATAAACTTCTGTGCTATATTCCAGGAAAATGAAACCGTACAAAAGCATCAGTAGGAAATACTTACTTAAAATGGGAGAAAATGAGCCTAATTGTTTGATTTGTATTCCTCTGGATTTGCCAGATGCAGTTTGCATTTGCATTTAGTTCAATCCTCAATGCTTTGTTTGGCTCATGAAGTGAAGCCCCACAGYGAGGCACCCCTGTTGAACAACAGCAAACACAAAAAAACAGCTTGCAAGGATATCTCTTAAATTCTCTCTTGCAGTAAGATTTTCATCCTCCATTATGTAAAGACTGGGAGAGTCCATCATCAAACAGATGTGAAAAATATGCTAAAGAAATGCATATTATTTCAGTTTATGAAATCTGATGAATCAGATGGTAAAAGAATACTAAAAACTGAGTTTATCCTGGTTTTCTTAGTAGCAGAGAAAAGGCTCAAGATGATAGTATAACTGGAAATGCCAARTGATACAGGACACGTCAGCATCCCTCTTCAGGAAGGTTTGTCACCACAAGCACTTCAAGCCTGGGGACTTGTACATTCTCTTATGAWAAAAACCCACAACCCAACTACATCTGAGCACAGAATGGTGACCCCAAAAGGAGCAAAAAGCAGTTCTTTATTGCTTCTGATCGAACAAAGAGAACATGAAGAAATCTCTTTTAAAAAGCAGTAATTTCCTAATTGGTCACCTGATTCCTGTTACTCCAATATAGYATTATTTTACAAAAGCAAATTTACATTCCAGACGAAAACCTTTTCAAAATCGAGTTCTTAAATTAAGGGAAGTAGCATAGGGAGGAATGTATTGAATTATTTTTTATTATTTACCATTTTTCATGCTTGCCGTCACATTTAGGTGTCACCGTTGTGCATCAGCACACAAAAATAAGATTCACTTTTAGAGATGTTTAACGTTTTGCTCTTCAGTTGCCTATAGAAGACGTGTTTTGCAGAAATCAATAAAATGTCACATATAAACAGATTTCCATACCTGAGAATTCTATTGAGTTGTCTTCAGGGAGAGCCAGAGCAGTGAAGAGAGGCAGGAGGAGGAACTGCCTGAGCAGCTGCATTTTGAGGGCAGCTGGGGAGGGCAGGCTCTGGCTTTTCTGACTTTTATACCTYCTGCTATTTCACAATCACCCTGTAGTACATGGTATCGTGGAGGGAGGGCTTAATCTCTCAGTCACTGTTTCTTTTTAACAGATATAAATGGGAAAGTTACAGATGGGCCCATTTGGGCACTGTCTGGAGTAAGTTTACCTGTGCTTTTGTCAGCTCTGAGTTCAAAGCACATTTTTCAGTTTCTTTAATTTAGTGTCTGTTTGGGGGCGTTGACTTGAGTAGGAATGTTGTGGAAGGGGTTGGCAGACTCCTTGGGAGACACATTTGCAGTTTTCTCTTAGCACTGCTCAGCAGGAGCTTTGTTTCTCCCACCTTCATTTTGACATCTCTCCCTTTAGGTTACACTGRGCAAACCATTCCCTGTCCTTGCTGAGGATTCCTCAGGTTGTGAAGTGCAAGTATTGTAAAAGAATTGTCATGAATGTATTGCTGAAACACCCCGGGATGAACAAGGCCCAGTTCATGTTTGTCACAGATTAAAAGAAGATTGCACTGCAACCACTTTGCAGACAGAACTTTCTTAGCCCCACACTAGAAGCTACAAAAGAAAAAAGGAATCAGCCTTTCCTTCCTGAGGCAAGAAATGAGCACTGTTCTAAAAGCTTCAGTTCCTTTTAGCACAACTTTAACAAAGCACCTGTTCCAGTATTTTTACCCTATTTTGCCCCRTAAGGACCAGAGCTCTGAACTGTGGAGCATTTCTCAGTGCAGCAGTGGAGCTCCTGGGGCTGTGCCAGTGCCACAGATGTGCTGTTACCTGGCCTTGGCTTGGGGTGCTGCCTGCAGGGTGTGGGAGCAGCCAGGGCTCCCTCCGGAGCTGCCAGTGCTCCATTCCAACATGGACAGCACAAACCCCCAGCTGTGCAAACAGGCTTCTCCAGGTTTCCTAGAAAGGTCAAGACCTTCTTGAAACACAGCCAGGTGCTTTTCTTTCATAGTATTTTTTTTTTAATATAAAACCACTTTCTTTTATAAGCAAACTGATATCTGATGCATCTGTAATTATACTTTATTTCTAATCTCAGACCTRTGTCTTCTTTAAAACACTGTCTTTGCTCCAAGTGATATAAACTGAGCACATTGAAAGAAAAAGGATGAAGCAAATGTTTATAGAAGTAAATTTAGATGGATAATATTTTAACAGTTCTAATCTTCACTAATATAACCTGACTTATGGGAAAGCTAAAATAGCTTATGTGTGTTGCAGAGATTATACCTGATTACATGTTCAATAATTTTTCTAAATATTTTWAAAGTTCCTGTTTAAGGTGATTGCTCAGACATTACTGGTTGCAAGAAGTATTTCTCTTGAATTTCCCTCTTTGTGAGCTGATAAAGCAGAGCTATGACTTGTGGACTTGAACTATAATGCAGGTTAATCCTTAAATGCCCAATATTTGAACTATTTAGTACAATGAGGAGAACTGGAATAACTTTGAGAGGGTGACAAAGTCTTGATGAGAAAAAAAACAGGCAGTAGATTCAATTTTTTTTGTTGCTGAGAGTTTTTACTGAAGTTTAGGCTTTTACAAATCCACTTGGTAGATCCTAAAGACCTGAAATTAAGGAACCCAAGTAGAATTAAGATTAAATACCTTGAGATKTACACCCACTAGTACAGTTTTAGAAATCAGCAGCAGATCTTGGAACACAATGAGCAGGTCTAGAGGTGGTCACCAGAAGGTCATGGCCAGAAAAGCAGCATTACTGGGGGACAATGACAACAACGACGCCGTCACTTGTGCTTCTCTTGGTTCTTCTCCAGTAAATGGGGGAGCCTTGGGAATAAGGGAGTCTGTTCCCTGGGAAGGGGCGAGGAGGCKGAGGGGGCCGGTTTGGGAAGGGTGGGAACCTGTTCCCTGGGAATGGTGGTAACCTGTTCCCTGGGAAGGGTCGGGGAGGAGGAAGAGGAGGTTGTGTGTTGCACCCCGATACTTTGCACTGTAGGCAAATTCTTGGGTTAAGGGGAGCTCTGTAACGGAGCTGGACCACCCTCTGGCCTGATGAAGGGTGATTCCCACAGGTTGTGTCCTTTACACACCTGAAAACGAAAAATAAACAAACCCACCCATAAATTGTCATATAATAATTGTTACATGCTCACTAAGCCCATTTGTTTCTTTTGTTACAAGGAACTTTCCTTCAAAAACCTCCAGTTGTGATGTTAATCACAGCTCAGTGCACTGCACTCCTGAGCACAGATGCCACTACATGGAATTTGAATGTCAGCTGGTATAATATGCATCACAACACCTACAAATATCACACATGTAAAGCACCTGGTGGAATTTTGTTAATATATATTAAATCAGTTTATAAACTCTAATGTGATGAAGTGGTGGAATTTTGCTGTTCATGCTTAATCAAAACAAACTAAAGGATAGCCCAGCCCTGGAAAAAAGGCTTTTGCTTTGTGGAAGCTTGGAGCTGTCTATGAAGGATTCCCCTGGACAGCCAAGACAACACCAGCATGCCAGCCCCTCTGACATGTCTTTGAAACCCTGCCAGCATCCTCTGGTACCATTGATCAATGACTCCAGCAAGAATGGCTCCAGGAACCTGTGGACATCAAGAATGCTGCAGAAATAGTGRTGTTCTGCAAAGTTTTAGTGTGATCAGTAATTGGTAGTATGGGTATGACTGAGTATCAAATCAAATTGAACCTGTGTGTTTGAAGGGTGTAAGAACGTGGTGGGAAATCATGTTTGGGGTATCCCAGCTTGGCTGGGGCACCTCATGTGCATGAATTAATATTTACCCTTCCAAAGTTGCACCTGGCATCCCAGGTCTCCTTGGCTGGCACAYGGCATTTAAATATCTCAGCAGAGCCAGCTTCACGTAGGGAGGCAGAGCAATATGGTCTGCARAGGAAGGGATGGAATGTGAGTAAACCAGAGTGAACAGAGAAAAATGCAGCATGTACTAAATACCAGCCTGCTTTGCAAATTTAAATTAGAGTGGGGAGGAGGGGAATTTCTCCCTTTGATGGTGTTCCATTAAAATATCGTTTCTCCCTCCTATAACAACTAACCCCAAGGTTACTCCTTGTTGCTCTTCTCTCATAGGGGGGAGAGGGTGAATTCACCCAGAGTACAAGCTATCTCTGCGTGTGAGCCCTCCAGAGACTGGGCACTGGCTGAGCAGCAGTGGAGGGTATGGGAGGGCATTTCAAATGTTCTTTWTCCATAACTGATGCAGACCCAGGCCTGCTCCCCCCTTGGCACTCACCAGCGAGGGTGGTTCTGCTGTCAGCCCCTGTTATCAGTGCCATGTGGTCCCTGGGTGAGCTGTGGCATTCCCAATCTCTCCGCCTGCATCCAGCCTCTCCCACTTTCCCTTTCCCCTGCACTCAGATCCCCTCTCTCAATAAACTGCCAGCCCATCCCAGCTCACATCTCTTAGCCAGAGTATCCTGCCCTTAGGARGAGAAGTCATTAAAAAGTAGAAAGAATCAAAATACTTTACCTGAGCTTGTAGTTGCTGCGCTTGTCTGTGGACGGGCTTTTAATGCAAATAAAAAGGTTTAAAAGTGAGCTGATTGAGGGAAATACGTGATTCTCTGCAATTACTTAATAAACATTATAATGTTGATTAAGTAATTGCATAAAAATTATTCAATTAATAAGCATTGTAATGAGCTGAATGCATTAGGACTAGGAAATGTTATTAGCAACAGTTCTGAGGAGTGGGATTGTCATGGACAAAGGTTTCATGCTGAGGAAAATGTAGGGGTTTGAATACTACAAATGACATATTACTGGCAACAAGATTTAATTCTGTTTATCCCTCTGTTTGTGGTGATACTCCCATGCTCAAATCTCTGCTTTGCACCTGAAGTTCAGTTTCCTGTTTGTTTTACCAAAGCAGCCAAGTGCTTTTTACCGAGGTGAAGCTGACAAAGCCAGACTAAAAACAAACCCCTTGGTTTRCTCTCTAAGGAACTGAGACAAAATGTAATCAATAGTGAGCAGAATTTGCAATTTGATTTTTTCAAAAGATTAAGCCCACTGTGGAAAACTGAGATTCAAAGTGAATACCACTGAATACATCAGAAGGATTCCCACTGATTCAGCTTCCAGTGGGGATGCAGCTTTGGAAGTGCAGGGAGGCTGGCKTTCTAGGAGTGAGSTGATCTAGAGAAAATTTGMATTTATGTTGGTGTAAACTGGAAASTATGCCTTCACCCCAGTGAATTCCCTTTCCTTAGAACTTCCAGCAGAGCAGGTGTTTGTCCCATGAGTTACCAACAGCATTTTTGATCCCTTCATTTGTATGGAAGCCAAAAAAATTATTTCCAAAATTAAATATKAAATCCACGAGATGATGCATGCTGTGGAGACAGGGAGCCTTGCCAGCAGATCATCAGACTCCAGTTTTGATGGAGAACTAAGAGTATGAACCAGGATAAATCTGCATCACTCACTGGTGGCAATGGCTGTTGTTGTTTCAGGAGCTGGAGGGACTGATGTAGCAGTTGGGCTTGGCACTGTGAGGAGAGAAAAATGAAGAACACATTGCCCGTGTTCTAAATACATTGGTGACTCACATGAAAAATAGTGAACTGCTCACCAGGGCTGAAGAAATGACCAGAAATAAATACCTRGGATTTCAGCTGTTGTGGGCTTGGTCGTGGCTGTGAAAGAGAAAACAAAAGCCACACTTCAGTACCTGCTCCATTATCGTGTGGGCACAGCCAGGGCTGTCAAAGGGCAGGGCAGCAGGACTTTACTCAAGCCAATGCTTGATCCTGACATTCTGACCACTCTACTAAATCCATACACACCTKCTGCTTCAGGTGTCGTGTCTTCTGCAGGGGCTGCTCAGGGAAATGAGAGAAAACAAAGCTGCAGGTTAAAAACTGTTTTCACAGCRCTGGGAAGGTGAGAGATACCCAAAGCTCAGGAGAGCTGCAGGTCTCAMTCGAGGGCTGGACAATGGTGCTGCTGTCCAGGGCAAAGTGCCTGGAGTGGGAGCAGCTTCAGTGGGAGGAAAACACATCCCTGAGCTGCCTCTGCCGGGCTCTGACAGCCCTGGAAGCCTGGGGCTGGTTGGTGACACTAATTTAGGGGTTAATGGGTCAATGTTTCCAACACAGTGCCTGCACAAAGCCATGTGCTGGCGAGGGCTGTGCCAGCGCCTCAGTGGGCACTGAGCCTGTCCCTTCCCATGGGAAACACATCCCAGTTTGTGCAGTGACTGGGATGCAGCTCTGGGAAGTGCAGGTTTTCTGGGAATGGGATGATCAAGTGCAGATCTGAGTTAATACTGAGGTAGTGTGCCTGCCMCTTCCCTGATGCTTTCATCAGGGCCTGTATTTCTCCTTTCCCTTTTGCTCCTTTACTGTGTCTGGAAGCCAAAAGAAAGGCAATTGGGATAATCTCCAATTCTGACAATTAAATCCCTGAGATTATGTAATTATGGACACAGGGAGCCAGTCAATACATGATCAGAGCATGGGAAGGCAACTAAACATGTAAGCCAGAGCAACACTGCATTACTTACCAGTGGTGGTGTCTGCTGGTGCAGCCGTAGATACTGCTGCTGTGAGAAAGAAAAGATGAAATTAAATAGTTTACTTGTTAAATGCATATTTTTTCCCTGACACCCATTGCATGTAACCTCTAGTTACACTTTATTACTTACCATTGGTAATGTCTGCTGGTGCAGGACTAGCAGAGGCTGCTGCTGTGAGAAAGAAAAGATGAAATTAAATAAAATTTGTATTTTAAGCATATATTTTTGCTTTGAACCTTGTAATATGTAAGCCAGAGCAACACTGTATTACTTACTAGTTGTAGTGTCTGCTGGTGCAGCAGTAGATGCTGCTGCTGTAAGAAAGAAAACATTAATTTCAGTATTGTCTGCATGTTGAATGTATATTTTTCCCCCTAACACCCATAACATTTAGCCAGAGCAACACTATATTACTTACAAGTGGTGGTGTCTGCTGGTGCAGCAGTAGATGCTGCTGCTGTGAGAAAGAAAAAGTGAAATTAAATATTGTCTGCATGTTAAAAGTGTATTCTTTTCCCCCTAACACCCATAACATTTAGCCACAGTAACATTGCATTACTTACTAGTGTCTGCTGGTGCAGCAGTAGATGCTGCTGTGAGAAAGAAAAGGTGAAATTAAATATTGTTTACATGTTAAATGTAGTTTTTCCCCTGAAACCCATACCAGGCTCTTTGTCCTGAATTCCTTTTTTGTGACCCTGATCAAAGCTCTTTCCATCCCAGCACCATGCCAAGCACTTTCTTCTGCAGATTTTGGCTGCAAAGAGCTGCCAGCAGCAGCGTGCTTGGCTCACTCCCCAAGATCTGGGTCGAGACAAATATGAGATAATTGAGAAAAAATGCTAATTAACCTGTTGATCCAGGTGCTGAGTATTCATCAGAGWTGGTGAAAGGTGTTAAATAGAAAGTTTAAGACTATTTTACAACTACATTAGCTGTCAAAATCCAGGTGGAAATAGTGAGCAAGAGGCAGATTAAAAATTTTCTCTTCAGATCCAAGTCTTGAATTGCGGGCAGAAATGAATTTATTGTTATTCTGCTGTATTGAAAATGGCTTTATGGGAAGGAGGCACCTTGTCCATTGAAGTTTYTAAGTAAATTAAGAATTTCATTTATGTGAAATATGATCAGCAGTATGAACTTTTCAGGGGCATTTTTCCAGAAAATAAAGGACAGATTAACTAGTAGTCTCAGGAATCCTAAATGTATTCTTGTGGGGTGCCTACAGACAGCTAACAGCTACTTTTCTCTTTCAGCAAATCAATAAGAGAAAATAATATCTGTATCTCTTCAAAGAAAATCCTTTGTTAAATGTAAAATATAATTAAAGGAATCAGTAGGAAATTAAGAGCACTTAATTTCCCTGAGACTTCCAAACAGTTTACCTGCAACAGGTACAAATTAATGAAGTTATTAGAGGTATTAAGAGCCTTTCTTTCCCTTAACTATTGAACAGCAACCCTGTCACATTGTCTATTAGTAAAAGGAAATTGTCTGAATAAGCAAGGCAAGTAGCAAAATCTGATCAAAGCTCAGTAAAATAGTTTTCTAAGTAGGAGATTTTTTTCTATCCTTTTGAAAGTGAAATGACTGGCAGGAAAGGGTGATGTCTCTATCAGAAACATAAACACCACAATAATTAAACATCAGTCAGTGACAGAAAATGGAGCTGATGATTGCTGATATGATTTTGRTTATGTCCTTGAAGGAAAAGAAACTTGGATTGTAGCCTCTGGTAATTTGAGTCAAAACCTCAGGTGAGCTTATATTTTGTTAATATTGAATATAAGCTGAATTTTTYTTCACTGAGACGATGAACTAGCAGTTGACTGATCTTGWGCTTTATTCACTTATTTAATCCYCCCAATGTAATCTCTTTTGAACAAACTCGAGCACTATTATTAGATTTTATGGCATTGTGTCTGTACTTTACCTTCAGCCACTGTGGAAAGGATTTCTGCAGCTGTGGTGGTCTCATCTGCTGCGAGTGGAGCAGTCGTATTCGGTTCTGCAATATTTTCAAAGGCTGTGACAAAATGGGAGAAACATTGGAAACAAGAAGGAAAGAGCATTCAGATAAGGTTGAAATCAGCTCTTGATGAATTTAATTGCCAARATTCTGTGTTTCCAAGTGTGCCCCATCCAACTCCCCCCATGGCTGGTGGCAGGTTGGCCAAATTCACAGACAAACATCAGCTGCCCTGAGAGATGYTGATTTTGCAGCAAATCTTGGCTTCTCCACTGGTGTCCCCTCCTAACCACGTTTTTCTGACACTCTGCTCCCTGTGCCAATGTTCTTTACCTATCTCCGGTGTGATTGTGGTTTCCTCTGTGTCAGAAGGAAGGGAGACAGCCGTGCTGAAGGAGGCTGAAAGGGTGAGAAATCCATGAGAAATCCAATGCTTTCAAGCAGCAGTTAAAAGCTTAAGAGTGATTTGAAGAGTTTATGACTTGCTTTAGGTCTCAGGCTTGATAAAAATCCTGATCTGGTGGGTGCTGCCCATGGGAGAGGTTGGGAGCAGGTGATCCTAAGGTCCCTTCCAACCCAAACCATCCCATGATTATCAGTCTGATAAACAACTGGAGAGGCTCATCCCCCAGGGAAATGACTGCAAATGCCTGGCTGTGCTCCTTAATGCTTCCGTAAATTCCTTTATGAATTTTGAATACCCTAAATTGCAATGATGTGGACAGTTTTCCTTTGCAAATTTATAAATGTATTCTTTATAGCTGCAATTCAGAAGTATTAAACAATAAGTACAGGCATTCCCTTCTATGTCCTGACAGGATGATRTTTTTCAAGTGAAGATACTATAAAGGGATTTTTCCTTCCCAAAGATGTCTTCTTTTAATATTTAACATTTAATATTTAATAATGTATTTGTATTTAATTTTATTTGTATTTGACTTTATTTAAYATTTTATTATTTAGTATTTGGAGTATTTTTATTATTTAATATTTGGAGTATTTCATTATTTAATATTTAATAAATATCCCCAGCAATCTGTCTGCTATGAATATTTACAGATTTACATGGTTGCATCTAAATTTAGCTGAAAACCCCAAATTAACAGAGTGTTTGTTTCAAAAGGCACACATAAAATGTCTGTTCTTACCTTTATCATCTGTGGCTGCGATTTTGGCAGCTGATGGGCTGATTTCACCTGCAGCAGTACTGAGTTCAGAAGACACAACTAATAATAAAAATAAACAAAAAGCAGAGAGAGATTGGCAGCAATTGGGAGTGAAGACACTAATGGAAGTCTTGATGATAAATTAGGGCTTTGTCGGACGCTGAGTCATTGCACAGCCTTTCATTTTTGATTGCAAAAAGTTACTTTCACCTCATTAATAATTATTAATGAAGGCAGTTGACCCCCGTGTTGTTTCTGGCTGCAATGTTTCACTCCCAGAGGTGCAATGGTTGTTTGGAAAGGTGCAAAGGAGCCATTGTGAGAGGGATAAAGGTTGTTTTGTGCTTTGAGAGTGAATTCCAGCCCCCAATGTGCCTCACCTTTCTCGAGGGTTGACAAAATCTCTGGAGATGTTTCAATTTGTGCCGGGGTTGAGCTGGGTGCAGGGGAGGAACCTGCAGAGACATTGCAAGGACCTGGAAAATCGTTCAAATTTGGGGAAAAAAAGATCCCTGGACTTTAAATTTTTGTCATGTGGCTCAGAGCAACATCTTCCAGTGGTCATTATAAGCAAACTTGGGAGGTTTGGGTTCCTCCTGTCTGCTTTAAACAAATTGCATCTGTTGCCCRAAATTTCCATGTGTGATATTTGCAGTTTGATTTTGAACCTGGCCTCTGCCAGCAGAAATCAGGGGTTCTGTGGTGGCTGTCACAGGTGCTGCTGTGTTAAAACCTTAAGAATGAMTGATTTTGGGAACCAGTTTTTCATTTTTGTGTTACATATAACATCATAAAACATGTAATCATGATTCTATCATCTTATATGACAGAAAATTGCATTTTAGCACCTGCTCCTCTGTGACTGTGCATCATGAAAAACTTAAGTGACTCAACACTTACAAACCCCAGGAAACGTGAGCAGAGTCTATGCTTTAAGGTGTCCAGGGTGTCATCATTATTTCAGGAACAGTGAAAAAAAAGGAGTCAGAAATTTAGACCTGGAGTGTAAATTCTTGCCTCATGTTTCCATGATTATTAGTAGATAAGGGACAGTTTGTATTAGCAATGCAGAGAACAGAAATAATATTGCAGTGGATGAATAAATAATTTGGAGCAATAACTTGTAATTCAGAGCATGTGCCTTGCTAGAAAATGGTTTGCCAAGGAGCTGTAATCACATGATTTTTTGAGTTAAAAGTTAGACTCTGAGCACTGGGGAGACTGTAAAGGGTTAATGGACTCCTGCCTCAAAAGCTCTGCCTTACCTGTTGGTGCAGCCGTAGAGGGCATTGCATCTGTGAACAGCAAAAAAAGCAAAAATTTACTTTATTGGRCAGTTATTGATGTTATATATTTATGACAAGGATTATTTTCATTTCCACTGAGATGTGCCTTGTTCACAGCTGGATGTGCCTCTGTCTTCTGTTAAATCTTTGCCTTGTCTCAGGGTTGGCTCTGATCAGGTGTTGACTAAAGTGGTCCTGAACTACCTGCTTTTCACTGTTTTCATACTCAAGGCTTGCTGTCCAATCTTATTTTGTCCAAGACATCCTTTAGCTCCTCAGTCACGCAGACAAGTGCGTGTGTTCAACACAAGAAACATCCCACACACACACATTTCACCCTGACCTGATTCCCAAGCTCTACTCCGACATTCCTTGCATTTATGGCAAACAGGATAGTCCAAGGAGGTTTCTACTTATTATATTTTTTTTATTTTCATGATTATTTTTACCTGAGCAGATGACACCAACTTCCTCATTGTGTCCACAGTTGTGCTTGCCCCAGCCGGCGTGCCGGCAGTCCCAAAGGTGGGATTCAGTTCCTCTACACTGCACATCATCCAACTGGATGCCTTTGCCACTGGGGCCAAAGTAAGACAGTCCCAGCACAGAGACAGCTTGGCCACAGTTCAGTTGTCTGCACACAACGTTGGCACTGTTCATATTGAAATAATCATCACAGACCGTGCCCCATTTTCCAGCATGATAAACTTCAACCCTCCCGGCGCATCGGTGCCCTCCAGATTCCAGCCTCAGTTGGGGTTGTGCTGCTGACGCTAAAGCAAAAGTTGACAGGTAAATCTCAATTTGTGTATTTATAGCTAAACCTCTGTTGTCTAAGCTCTCATCCCCATGGCTCTGCTGCGTGCACAGCGTGATCTACCACGGTCAGAAATCACAGCCAGGGCTGGCTCAGGGAGCTCCGCGCCTCTGCCAGATRTGTTCACACTCAAGAAAGTGTCTCTTACCTTTGGGTACAAATTTATCTTTGAACCAATCYGCAAATTTGTCCCATAGTGATTTGGAATCGTCGTCTTGCTGGTTCCACCAGGTTCCGCTCGCTGTGGCAGAAAGGAAATGTATCAGCCCTGGCATAAGGCATCATACTCTGTTCTGTAAATTATTCAATACAGCCAGCCCTTCACCTGCACTCTGTGAAATCACCTCTTCTTGTAAGGGATTAGAAATTCTTCTTTTATTGTGCCTGTGGTAATAACCAAAGCTCAAAGTATTTCATTCAAATTAGCAAGACTGTAAGGGAAGTTTGATGTTTTCGTTTGAAATTTGAAGGAACATGCCATGCAGAACACACTTATTTCCACCTGGGTCTGGCAGATTGCTCTGTATTTCTTTTCTTCTCTTTCTCTGCATTTTAAAGTATAGAATAATTCTAATTAACACTAGAATATTAAATGAGGAGCATTTAGAGAACAGCTTCCACAAACTACTCCCCGCACAGAAGAGAAACAAAGGAATTTTTTTCAGCCTTTTTCAGTCCATAACCTTCATTGATTATATTTTGAAATATAGTATCTTAATATAATATTGCATATATTGCATATATTGCATATATTGTACTAGGTATTTTTAATAGATTTATTTTGAAATACATATATTCTGAAACACATATATTTTGTAATATAACCTATACATTTAGACTGAATCTTTCAAGTAGAAGACAAATTAAACCATCAATTCTATTACAGAACTCATCGGCAATACTCAAAGAGAATCTTTGCCACCACTTCCCCAGACTATATTAGTAMATTATTAGCCGGACTATATTAGTAAATAAATTTGTCTAAATTAGTAAATAATTTAACCTTTCCCTGTGAGCATGAGAACATTTTGGAGGCAGTACCTGGCTGGGACAGGAGGGCAGTGCTCAGCAGCAGCAGCCAGGTGAGTCGCACGTTCCGGTCCATGGTCCTTGGGGTGGTCTGCTCCAACCCCACAAAACTGCACCATTTATACCAGAGGGGTTCTGCTCTGCATCAAAGGCGTGCTCTGTGCAATCTGATCCCTCTCCTGAAYGCCCAGCTCCATGCCAAGGAAGTGGTTTAGGGAGGATTTTCCTTTCTCTGGGTACATCCCGAYATCCGGATGAGCCGATCCCGCTGGCCACCGAGATCTTCCCCAACACTCCCAGCCCCTCCATGGCCTGGTGGTGGTGGTGGGGCTGTTCCAGGAAGCTGGGATTTACCTTTGGAGATTAGGCTGTTTGGTGAGGATTCTCATGCCACCCACTGAGACAGTTTCCAATTTACGACCACGCTAAGCCAGATTAAATTGGTGTGAGGATTGTGCCAGAAGATTAGCATCCTACAAATGTCGGGAAAGCCTCAAACAGATTCTCTTTGTCTGCCAAAATTACTCCTGTAAGAAGCAGTTTTTATGGCTTTTTCTTGTTTTCTGACTCCTCTTTATGCTGGGAGAAGATCCCTCCAGCATCTTTCTGATCTTTCTGATCTGCAGCTCTCTCTGTCTCACTGGCAATAAAAGAGCTGTAAGAGATGTTGGCCAAGGCATGGCTGGACAATTGCTGAACCAGAATAATCAAGGAAATGGAGCAAGGCAGGGCCACAAGGTGCTATCAATGTATTTTTAGATGAAGAGTGAGAAACTACTGACAGGTTTTTATTTCATTGTTGTGGGTTATGTGATCAAAGAATGAGAGGCAGAAGATACTGTAGTGCCAGTGTAAATGCAAATTAATAAAGGATAAGGAGAAATAAAGTCATAATTGAGAGGAAATATACCACAGGTTGTGCTGGATGTACTTGCCACTTGTTTTCATGGTATTTTTTTAATGTTAAGTGATTTGCATGATGAACAGGAATCCCACCTAGGAAAGGCCATCCTTGACTGGATAAAATTGGCTTCTATCAAAGCTGTGGATCCAGCAGGACCCTCCATCTTCTCCCTGGCATGAGGTGATGGAGTCAACACCACCACAACCTCTGATACCCTAAATGATGCCTCCAGCTCTGCCTCACTCTGTGCTGTCAGGGGAAAGGACTCTGCTACAGACTGAAAACACAAAGCTGAATTTTCTTAGCTGAATTTAAAAGGAATAGAAATTCTTTCAATCCATGAATGCTTTTCTTATTTTCTTTGCACTGTGCTGCTMTATTTGGAATCATCCTGATAAAGGTATGGAAAATGATATGGAAAGAACACAATTGAATGAAAAAATCTTTGTATGAAGAAGCATCAAGATTTGTTTTTTTCCAGCATTTCTGAGTCTCCTTTACGAAGCAGGAACCAAGGAAGTCATGCAGAGGGCTAATCCTGTGTGCCAGGARCCAGCAGTGGTGACAGTAAGGATTGGTCCTGGAATTTCAAGAAGGTGATCTTGGAAGAGCAAAGATGTTTCCCAAACATCTTTTTAAAGAAATCTGTCAAACTATGGTCACAGGAAACAAACAGAGTGTGCAGTGCAAGAGCTTTGTGCTGGAGGTTGGGTGTTGATCTTTCCTCACAGAGCGAAGTTTTGCTGCCCTGGCAGATTTACCCCTCCCTGGAAATTGCTTCATTTAGTGTTAGAATTTCCRTAAAGATCTGGACCGAAGGGACTAAAAGCAGAAGGAAAAAGCGGAGCTGTTCGGGAGTTGGCTGCCACTGGAGGGCAGCGAGGCCCCGTCCYTGGGAAGGGAGCACGGGAAGGATGCTCCAACACCGCAGAGCTGCTGTGCCATCCCTAAAACGGCCTCCAGCTGAGCGAATCCCTGCAAAAGTGAGCAGAGGTGAAAATAAACGTATTCATATTTGTAAAGAATTTCACTGGAGTGCTTTTGAAGGAATGAACTAGGACTAGCTGCCTTTCTCTGGTACACGTATTTCTTATACAAGTGTTTATTTGTATTTCTCTTTCCCTGGAGAAAAAAAAAACAAAAACCAAACCACTGATGGTTGTATGAGCTCACAACTTTTTCTCATGCTATAGCAATATATTTATTATTTCTTTCAACATCATGCTGCACTTCTGAATAGTTTTCTTATGCAGCAAATCCTTTTATTTTTTACTGAGCCTGTTGCATTCCCAATGATCTGGTGTGGCTGTGTCCAGTGTCCAGACACCATGGAGGAGTTCCCTGGGTCAAACCCACTCCAGSCCCTTCCCCATCCMTGTTCCCTKYCCTGGACATGCTCCAGCCCCTCAATGTCTTTGTTATCCTGAGGGACCCAAAGGTGACCCCAGGCTCTAAGGTGCCTCAAATCCAAAATTTGAGGATTTGAGTGCCAGCAGAGGGATGATCACTGCCCTGGTCCTGCTGGCCACACCAATGCTGGAACAGCCCATGTTTTCTCTCTGCCAGCCTTTCCACTGAAGTCCAATAAATCCTCAAATGAGAGGTGTTTTTGCACCCTGAGTGATCAGAGAAAAGGCAAATCCCAGCTGAAGTAAATCACACCCTCAATGACATAACCTGCAGATTCCCTGTRTTTATGGTGAATTTATTGTGAAGTGAAAGCTTTACGTACAAAGCCATTGCCTTTGGACAAAACTGAATCCTGAGTGCTGGGTCCAGCTTCCCAGTCCCAGAGGAGAATTCCCTGAGGATAAGGGTGCCMCATCCAACCTCTGGAAGCCCCAGGGAGGCACAATCAGGGGTGAAGGCCATCCAAAATCGAGGGGTGTCGGTGACCTTGTCCCCACACGTGGCAGGAGAGGTCATTTCCCTGTCACCCAGCCCAGGCTCTGTGTCCACACACCCTGCTTGTCTTGGCACAACCTGCTGCATCCCTGCAGCTTTTCCTGCTTTTCTCCTTCACATGGACAATGGTTCTACTGGAGAGCTTTTCTCAGAAAATCCCTGTGACCTCAGCAGCACCACGGGCAGGGTCACACAGGGTGCCACCAGCACCGGGGACATTCTCCAGCGTCCTTTAAACATTTGTCATCACAGACATGGGGGTGGCCTTGGGGTCACCCAAATGCCTCTAAATTTAAGTGGATTTTGGTAATAAAATCAGTGCAATGAGAGCATGGACTGAAGTGTACAATCTGACTCACTGTCAGTGCAGGGAAGATAAAACMCTGTAGGTTGCCAAAGATAAAATTATTTATTCCCAGCTGCATAGCAGTTATGAAATCAGTAGTAATGAAATAAATTACCTGTGTTAGACAAACATGAGTGGATATTTATTGATATGTTGGTTAATTATTAGAAAGAAACATAATTATTAATATGTTTACAATGAATTTAAATTTATTCTAGGAAAATCAAGGTTCAATTCATCAAGCTGAGGGTGATCAAGACATGAGGTTAATCAAGCCAAAGCAGCACAAGGTCACTTTCCTGCAACTGAATTTTCTGTTCTTGCATTTTAATATCACTTAAGGGCTTTTGAGTTTGATTAGGAAGAGAAAAAAGTCTGTTAGGGTGTGAGGTAAATCTAGCCAATAAATTCAAACATAAATAAAATTAAATATGATGTTTTATGCAACACCTTTTCTATTTTAAGACCTGAAACTTTTAGCAACCTAATTCAGTAAAGGGGTTTTTCACACACAAAAAGCCCCATCCTTTCAGTACTAAGGCAAACCATATCTATATTTAAGTTTCATATATTAAATCTCCTTAAATATTAAAAATCTATTGTTAAGTTCATGAAAACTCATGTAAATCAGAATTACTGCTTTCATTGTGGTCAAAAACCACTGAATTTTAAGTTTTTCCTCATGCATAAGCTACTGAAGAAACTAAGTAAGGTGCAAATCAGTAATAATTTAAAGAAATTTTTTATGATAGGGTGATTTTTACAAGATATAAATGGTTGAATAAATACGAAATTGAAAATGTCAGGTATTTCAGTTCCCACAGAAGCTGACAGAGGAGGAAATAGATAAAATATACATTTTAGCAATTCCAGTTTCTGTAAAATTATCGGCATTTTTAGGGCAGGTTTTTCACCCARAGGGTGGATGGGCTCCTCTGGGAARTGGTSACAGCAAAAACCTGCCAGAGTTCAGCTTGGACAGCACAATTAGTCAGGTGGGTTAATTGCAGGCAGCCCTGAGAGCAGGGAGTTGGACTCAATCATGGATTGTTTCCAAATCAAAATATTCTGCAATTCTATAGTAACATTTCATCTTTTTTGTAGAACCTGAAATTGTCCAACAACTGAATAATTAATTGTTAGCTGGTTTTCCTTGCTAACAACTTGAAAAGTCAGTGGAGAACAGGATAAAACTTTGCAACGTTTTTCACATCAAACAGACATTTTAAAAAGTTGTCAAGGTTAAATTGGATAAGGACCTAGAAAAGCCAGAAKGTCATGGCACGTCCTTCAGAGGGATCTGACACAGCTCTGGGTTCTTTTTCTTGCTTTCTGCCCCTGGGCTGCAGGAGAGTTGTGACTCCTGAACCTTTGCATTTGGTTTATCCTGATTATCTCACTCAAATAAATGACCTTCAGGCATTCAATAAAAGCTTTGTCAGGGTGGGATATGTGGGATTAGGACCTGAAGTTCAGGAAAAGTCTCCTCTGTGAAAGTTTGTTGGTTCTATAAGGGCAGAATGTGCCTCGGGTTTGATTTTGTTGCTCCTCCCCTGTCTTGGTAGTGAGAAAATAGAATTGGTTACAGAGGTTGTGGGTGATTTAAAAAGTATGAAAGGAGGATGGCTGTTCTGGATGGACTCTGACACTGCTTAAAATGCTCTAAAAGGTTTTGAATCTTAGATGGATGGAAATTGCCATGTCAAATGTTAATCAAAATTTTTTAAAAAGAGGGAAACACTGGCTAGGACAGAAATTCGGTGACAATATGCTGTTAAAAGAGGCACATTGCTGKATAGAAATGTGTTTTATAGTTCAGGGAAGCATTTCTCATTCTGACAAAATTAAAAATTTTTGTGGCTTCTTTTGATCAAGCAAAAGTATTGCCTTGTACAGGAACAAACGGCACTTCCAGGTGGAG